TATGATTATGAACGGTGTCCGTTACCACTACCATTACCATTACCATGAATTTAAATTTTTGTTACCATTTACCATCTATTACCACAAATCCAAATTTTTTTTTTACCATTACCATTACCATTACCATAGTAATGGTAAAGTAATGGGATTTTTTTGTTACCGCAGGACTCTAACGGTGAGTTGTCAAAAGCTTTGCTAGTTTGTACTTTTCAGTCAATCTCATTCAGAAAAGAGGAAAGTCTATCGATAAATAAAAGGCATACACAAATGGTGTATACACCATTGACGAAACTCATCAACTAAATAAATGCTTGGACGTGCTAGTAAACGATGATATTTGATCAGACTTGAGACTTGTGGTACTGATATTTGGCCATTGTATTCATTTTTCATGACACAATGGACTCAAGATTGAGATAATTTTGCAGTGACAGCTTTTGAACCATCACTTGTATAGATAATGGAGCAAGGGTAGTTTCTATGAGATCTCTATGATCATATGAATTGGACCTGAACACTTCCATTTCATTGTTACTACGGAAAGCAACTCGTGTTTAGTAATTTCATTTGGATAATTTATGATGGACTGAACAACGATATGTTGTTGTTTTTGTATCAGCAATCGTTATTTCTGTGCGAAAGTATGACACATCAATCTGTTTAATATACAGATGGAAATCATCTTTTGATGTAAGAGTAGTCACAAAGTTCCCGTTTCGACGAGCCAAATTGATTTTTTATAATTCAAAATATTTCACTGTCGCTGAAAAAGCTTTTTTAAATCTAATACATATTAGAACCAAATACTTTCGTAGTACCTACATATATTAAAAAACACATTAGTTTTAAGTGTAATATACATAGAAATTACACATATAGGTAATAAATGATGTAGATTTTAGTCGATATATGATCAGGAGTTCTAGAACGTTTCTAGAAGACTATTAGACAAAACTTTTCTTAAGATGAGATTTTGAATGTGAATTTTTTTCCAATAAACATTTAATAAGTAAATTCAACTAGTGCTGATTCTTTGTATCAATTTAAATGTACCCAGCCCACATTTGTAGAAAGCATAGAAAAAGATTAGAAAATATGAGGATGCCAGAACGAGCGGAATAGGAAAAAAGAGTCACATGGATATTCTTCAGTAAGAAAAAAATAAATAAGTAGCACGTTGTCTTCATCCAACAATGAATAACAACAATCAATTTGTTGTTGTTGTTTTATTTGAAAGCTTAAGCAAAATTAAAAAAGAAATTCGTAAAAATTTAATTAACATCTACGATACAGAAATATTTCTATAAATGAGAATAATAAACCTAGCAAAGTAGCGATAATTATTCTTAAATATCTTCAACTTAAACTATTGTAAACAATATTGGACACATTAAATCAATAACCTCGATCCTTTAAAATTTATGGATACAATATTTGGACTTTGAACTCTTTTCAATTTCTTCTTCTTCACTTCCATCCAATAGTAGAAGACATTTTCTTGTTTTTTATTTTATATAAAAACAAAAAACTCTATTTTTCAAAGTATGATATTTAATATTTTATGGTGAATTTTTCAGAAATATGAGATTACTCAATTTTTAGAAATTCCTTAACTCACATTTTTATGCAAACATCAAAATTTCAGAATTCCTTCGCATTGCCAGTGAAAGTTTATTCGACCTTTTTGTCGTTCGCAAAGGAATACTAATACTTAGGCGAAACTGTAAAATGTGTTCTGAAGAATTCAAATATGCGACACCTAATAATTGATATAATGAATGTCGAAAATATAGCGCGTTTTTCAACTTTTCTACAACTATTAAAGATTTAACGATTGATAATCTTTGAGTTGATTATATCCTTAACCATTTAATATCTGAAAAAAAGATATTTAGGTGAAATTGTTACTATTCAAAAATAAAGTGTACGCTTTTTCATGGGTTCGGGTTGTTATTTATCTCGTCAAAAACCAATGGATCAAATTCATTCAATATTGACCCATATCAAATATCCCGTTGAATATGATAACAACTCATCATATTATAAAAGAATTTCAACAAAATTATTAAAAACACATGACAATGATAAAAATATTGTTGATTATAATCAAATATTATTAACATTAAATATTCGTCTAATGACACAAGATTTATCCACATCTTATCGAAATCAATTGATATTAAATTTATTAAAACAATTTAATTTAAATGATGAAAAAATCAAATATTTTCAACAAATATTACAAGATAAAATTCAATTATCATTAAAAAAGACATCAATTTTTCAATTTAATCAAATCAAATTAAGTGATTATTTTATGTGTCCTATAAAAATATATTCATTAAAAATTAATGAATATCAAGGTGGTATATGTTTAAGTATTGAATTACATCATTCATATTTTAATATTCTAGTAATAACATTTTTATTATTGATATCATCTTCAACGTTGTCACCTTATACTATCAAAGAAACATTTCTATTACCCGAATATTTGAGAAATCAATTTAGTAAAAATTTATGTCAATATATAGCTGAAAAATTAGACGAATTTTGTAAAAAAAAATCAATTGAACAGACATATAAGAAAATTATACCACTCGGTTTATCTTATTCAATACCATGTTTACAAAATACAATATTTAATGCGTATACCTACGAACAATTGACAAAAGATGAACAAGGTAGAAAAGATTAATGTATTATCTAAAGAAAAGGCAATCTTCTCTAGTAGTTGTCAAATTAATTACTTCTCATTTTTCTTTTTTAATGTATTAAGAAATAGGTATTCGTTCAATACTTCAAGATGCTATTAATGAGACAAATAGTCATATTAAATTGTTAATTATTATCAATGAAACAATGGCTACATTAATATTTTGTCATCATTCAACAAATGATTGTCAAATGGCTATAACCATTGGTGATGGTACAAATATTTGTTATTATGATAAACTTACGAGGTAACTTCCCCAACTGTCAAATCGCTTTTTTCATCTAACCTAGTGGGATATAGGTATTTGACCACGCTGATTTCGAATATCACCATGCCAACTGCCCTTAGGTCTTCACAGACCCGTTTTCTATAAAAAACAATTTTTCGGAAACTCTAGAAAATAATCAAAACCTTTCTTAATGAGGCATGATTGTAGCCCACAAATTTCTGATTAAGATAAGACATCTCTCAGCTCTACATGAGCTTTCTTTGCAAAGTTATAGAATTTACAAGAAAAGCTCTAAATTAATTTCTTCTTATTTCTGTACCTTTGAGCCGACAAGGAACATTTAGAGCTCTTCTTGTAAATTCTATAACTTTGCAAAGAAAGGTTATGTAGAGCTGGGAGAGGTCTCATCTTAATCAGAAATGTGCGGGCTACAATCACGTTTCATTAAGAAAGGTTTGGGTTATTTTTTAAAGTTTCTGAAAAACTGGTTTTCCAGAAAACAGGTCTCTGAAGACCTAAGAGCAGCTGGCATGGCGATATTCGGAATCAGCGTGGTCAAATACCTATATCCCACTAGGTTTGATAGAAAAAGCGATTTGACAGTCGGGGAAGTGAGCTCGTTAATCGTATTAGTACTGATATCGATAACAATCACGAAACAATCATTAATACTGAATGGACATTATTCAATGATGGTGATGATAAAACAACAAATAGTCTTGAATTAATTGTCACAAAATTTGATAAATATGTTAATGATCTATACTCAAAACAACAAAATGAAAAATTTCGATATTTTAGTCAATTTGTTCAAGATAATTCTCTGGCAGAATTACTACGCTTGATATTACTCGATTTCTACCATCGTCGATTACTGTTTGATCATGATCCTATTAAGGGTATTTTCTCCTCCCTTTTTAATAAAATTTTTCGATTTTGAGTTGAACATGTGCTACACTGTAAAAAATAAAGTGTGCCCGCTAGTGTACATTCCGAGTCCAAAGTGATGTACAAATTGTCACTATGTAATCGGAATTTTTATCTTGCGTTTGTCCATGGGAAAAAACGGAAGAATGTTTTTTCTCTTCGATCTTTTTTCTCGTTCTGTCTGTGGAAGCTAAATGTGCAATTCCAGTGTGTTACAGGTACACTGAACAAGCCGTTTTCAGTGTGCAAAAACAGTCCAACCTGATGTGCACATTCAGTGTGCCTCGCGCACACTTATTTTTTATAGTGAATGTAGAGAACAGTCTTAGCTACTAAATAAGATCACTTCCAGCTTTTCATAACTTTTCTCAAAAACAAAAGTTATGAATTTTTTAAGTAACTTTTTGTTCAAAAGATTTAAGTAGTTTCGTGAATTTTTTTTTTCTTTTGAACACTTTCAAACATTTTTCTTATAAGTTATATAGTCTAAAAAAGAGTAAAGAGTTCTCTTCGCAACGAGACGACTCTCGAAAGTTTTCAATGATTTTTCACAGAGATGTAAGTATCGCTGCAAAATGCCAAATAGAGAAAGTGACTCAGTCTAATCTAATCCATAATATTCTAAATATGAGTAGTACATATATTCATGTACATTATAATTTTACTACAGATACTTGGTACGATAATTTATTTTTTGTTTTCAAAATATTGCTGAAAAAAAAAGCTGAAAAAATACTCTGCAAAAATTCTTGATTGTTGGTGTTGAAAATGTTATATCTTGAGAAGGAAAAAATCAGAAATAAAAAATAAATTTTACATGACTCAAAATCGAAAATTATTTTCAAAAAAGAGAGGATGTTCTTAATTAACAATAATATGTAAATAATTGTACAGCAATCACTGTCATCGAACAACTACATCCGTTAACAAGACAAAATATTATAACAGCAAAAGATTTAAATGATATATCGTCAGATTATTATTCACAATTTCAACATATTCGACGTATTTTAACGCGAATAAATTTAGATTATTCATCAACAACTGATTGTATCATATTACAATTAATATGTAATCTTATTTTGAAACGTGCATCAAAACTCTGTGCTGCTGCATTTGCCACTATTATCAACAAACAAAAAATAAAAAATATAACAATAGCTCTTGGTGGTGAGTAGAGATATAATAGTTTCTATATCTCAGTTCTTGAATAAAATTAGAACTGTCACATAGTTAGAAATGAATATAATAAATATCTCACATTTCATTTTCATTAAACTATTTAACATTTGTAGGAAGATTAATTCGAGAAAATAAAAAATTTCGAAATCATTTTTTATATTATTTACGTGAATATGTCACGAAAGACATTGCTTACAAAACAATTATGTTAGATAATGTATCGGGAATTGGAACTGCTATTCTAACAATGATTCATCAGCAAATGTTTATAATAAATGATGAACAACGAATATTAAAAGAGAAGAAACTAGTAACAACTAATAAAGCTAAAAATAGTATTGAATCGAAAATAAATATACCAGTATTGATCAAATCACGACAAGCAGAAAAGTGTCAACGTAGACAGTCGATATTAAAAATCCATTCATCCATTTCATCATAAGAATAACAGAAAGAAACAGACGAAGTAGGGACTAACTATGTTATGCAATGGTTAGAAAGTTGAAACGGTAATCATAGAAATTTTCAACATTCACAAAATATGTTGATCATATTTACATTGTAGACAGCGTATAGGAAACGAGCGTGACAATGATACACATGGGGATAACTCGATTGGAAATCAATCACTTTATCCACGACGTTCATCATAAACTTAGAGAACTATCTTATTCGAAAGAACATGAGATTCTAATCAAAAAAATATTATTTTAACATTATCATAGTGTCAAGACTACCATTATTGACTTTTGTCGAAATAGAAATTCAAGATCAGAGTTTAATTACACATAGCCAAGAGTTACTATTAATCCTTGACGGCTGTACATCCTCGATAGCTTTCTACGGATCCGCTTGAGAAGCAGTGAATAACTTTTTGTTTTTACTCCGTTTACCATGCTAAAATCGAAAGAAATGACCCGAGTAAGGGCAAAAAACTAAAACATCAAAAGTTAAAACGGCGAAAATGGAAATAAAAGATAATGAAAACTGTGAGTCGAATAAGATCTTTTGTAACGAAATTTTTGCGAGATGGTTAACGAAGATAGTAATGCTTTTTAGTTCATTCATTTTCACTTAAGTTACTATATATTCCAGCTTCTCTTGTTCTTCAAAATAGAATAGTTTGATCCCTTTTATTCTAAGTTAAACTACGATCCTTTCTAAATAATGTTGCTCACCCTCATCTCACACATATTACAACACTATATATTCAAAAAAAAAACGTTTTTTTTCGCTTTGTGTCAACTATATTATTATAAATACATAGACAAGATAAATATAGACATGGTAGTAAGTATAGAATTTTAAGACGGGTCGTACTCAGCTAACTTAAGCGAACTTAATACCAAATATTTTACTACATTGTCAGATTATTAAAAAATGAAAATTGTCAATAGTTTGAAAATGGGTCTCAAATATTGCCCTGTCCTTCTCTTTGTTGACAGTTTTAGAAAATAAAGAAATCTTATAAGGAATATTTAGTAACGAAAAAAACGAATAACTTTGTTCAACGTTAACGTTTACACTAGTACTATCAAATAAAGCGTATTCCGCCACGCGATATTTTTTTTGATCAAATAACAAGTGGCATTGTTTTCTTCTAAATTAGAGAAGTGAGTAAAAAGCATAATTTATGTCAGTTTTCCATACAAAAAATATTTGTTAACATTGATCAACTTTGTCTGACGCGATATCGATAGTGAGCGAACAGAATCAACGTACGATGAGCTATTTAAATTACTTCATACTGAGTATTTTTGTTTAGACAGTCTGATGTTTATTGCTTGATAAAGCTGGATTAAATAAACTAAGAAGACAAACTGAAAAAAAGAACACGGTTGTACTGTACGTTATATTGTATTGAGATAGCGAGTATGTATTTTAAATATTTTCATGTCTTACAGGTATTTGACTTTATAAGTGTCTTAGTTCTAAGCTCTAGAATCCACTAACGTTAGTTATTGGATCTATTTCCAGTGACATATCTATACAGTATTTTCTTTCAGTTTGATTAAATTACGAAATGAATTCATTGCATGATTATTTTCCGTCTATCTACTTACATAATACTTAGTATACCGAATTTTAGTTGAGAAACAGAAACTCCTAAGAGCATTGTTTAATCGTGGGTAATGAATGTATTATAACGTTAGAAAATATTCTTTTCTTTGCAGAAAAACGCAAAAGTAATTGATGCGAAATTTTTGCGTGAGACTGCGCTAAAAAAAATTCTACGACTGCATAACACAATTCTCTAATAAACGCGAATTCTACCATCTTTTCACTTATCATACATAATTGTCTATCCTTTCAGGCTAATCAGAGTACGTGATAAAGCAGGTATTTTGTCTTTAGCTTCAGTGTAAAGTAGGAATGTTGTGAGCGTGTTTTATGTCTTTTTCAAAACTTTGTTGTGAATCTTTGAACTGTAACTAGATGAAAGTTTCTCGAATTACTAGAAATGCAGAATACACATTTCTCTACAAATTAAAGTAAAGCTCTGTGTAATGTTTACTTGGAATTTAATACTTAGTCAATAACAAACTTCTAACTGATCACGAGTCGAGACTCGATGAAAGACGTCATTAAAACAAATATAGAATGCTAAGAACAGAACGCTCAAAGGTGTACGATTTCTCATTTTATAGAAAAAAAATGTATACTAAAATGTATGCTACATTTCAGAATACCCAGAAAAATTTTTGTCTCCATCGTTTTTTCGAATGATGAATTTTTTTCTAAAAAAAAGATCGAAAATTCTAATCTGCCTAAGCTCGTAATCGTAACATCCCTGGTATAAAACATGATTTCTTCTTTTTCTTTTAATAAAATGAATCTATCATTAGAATCAGTATAGCCAGCCATCATTAGTACGTATATATATTAATATATTTCAATTCATGAGTATTTTTTTTATTGATATTCAAATAACTGTTATTCAGTTTATATATAGAATGAAAAATGAAAATGTCTACCACTATACATGTAAGAGAAGAAAAATAAATAAACAAGAATAAAAAAGACAAAAAAGAAAAACATTTCCAAAAATGAGAGGTTCTTCCTGACTATGCGGTGTTTGAATATGATTTAATCAAAAAAAAAAAATAGATGTATCATAACTCTGTATAATAAGAGAATGTACAAAAAAAAAGAGATATCTTTAAAATATATCTGAAAGAAAACATCTTAGATGTGTATTTATATGTTGATATTGAGAGGAATTAAAATTTAAAAAAAAAAAAACACAAATTTTTTTGGATACTCTTCATTTAGAACAGATGCAAATCATTATATAAAACATCAAGAAAGTTGGAAGAAACAGACCAGCTGTATTAAAATAATTTGACTAGCAGATAAAATTCATTGTTTAAGATTGTGTAATATTCAATAGACGATTTCTTTCTTCTTCAATTTCATCTTTTTTTTTCTGTTGAATAATTGTTGATGCTGTTGTATTTATTTGTGGTTCAATAAAATCAGCAGAAGCAGGAAGAGGAGATGATTGTGGTGCTTCATTTGGCGTTGTTGATGGTGACTGACAATTTGCCATTTTTATAGTTATACATAGTAGACTAATAAGTAATGTGAGTGATATACCTTTAATAACCATAGCCGCACCGAATAATGTCAACGGTAAACGATCACCTAAATAAAAATGAATCTTTTGTAAATAATGCGTCATTAATTATTTTAGACCATTATTTATATGTAAAGAGTTTATTAAACGAACACTTACCATTATATAAAAAACATGAACCACGACGCTCACAATTACGATTCCAAAATAGACATGTATTATCAATTATCGTACCAAATATGATTGGAGCAGGAATATGAGCTTAAAATATAAACATTTTTTTGATAGATAAAAATCTATTTCAATTATTTTTAGATATCAAATACATCTTCTTTGTGTAATAAGACAATTTCTATTACAAATGATTACAGAAATACTTACCAACCAATTTAATGATCATATTTTCTAGGCCTAATGCAAATGATTGTAATTCATGTTGAACAGATCGTAATATAATAATTAATTGTGGTGTTGCACCAATTGTTTGAAAAAATGTAACCATAAATAGAATAGCCATAAAAAATATCATTTTAAGATAACATGGATTATTACATGAACCACTTTTTACATAGTGTTCATTACCTAATACGCACGAACAATTATAATAACCCTGTAAAGCAAAAACAAAAAATAATTACATTTGATAGAAATATATAGGAAATTACTTACTGTTCCATTTGAATATGTGCAACCAGCATGACATGGCGATAAATAAGTGACTCGATTTTCATAACAAACCGGTTCAAATACATACGGTGAACATGAACATGATTCAACACATTGATCAATTAATGAATCGCTAGAACAGATGAATGAATAAAATATAGATTTATTTTCACATATAATCATATCAACATTATCAACATTTAGTATTTTCCCTAATAATTTTATTTTTTTGCAACACATTTTCAAAAAGCGATAATATTTTTTTTTAAATATTCTGGAAAGAATATATTCTAGAACTCAAAATATTCTACTTTTTAAAAACAGTCGTATAGTTTTTATGCAGTTTAGCACACACATTGTTTGAAACAAAAGATATGCAAAACGCGGTCGAAAACGCGATTCTGTAACGCGTCTTGTGCTATTTTCTCATCGATTTACCTTTCGAATAAAAAGACACCTTGTCTTATTTTGAGAAAAATGTGCTTATCAAAATAGTACAACACACAGCTCTCTAGGATTCTTGGTCAATGTCATATTTTACAAAACTATTTAACACTTACTCTTGAAAAATTTTTCTTCTCTTAAATAATATATGCCTACGTTTTGTCGTGTTCATATACTTCCATAACAGAGAATTGTCAGACGTTCTGAAGTGCCATTTTGATAAGCACACGTTTCTTCACAAAAATAAGACATGGTATATTTTTGTGATTCATATTGAATATTGCATTAGACTTTTTAATGAGAACATTTTGAGACTGTATATATATATATCCCTCGTCATTTACTATCATGTTTACTCGGATTGTATTTAGTCTTAAAATAACATTTGAGCAAGTAACACGCGATAGTTTCACAAAATAATCATAGAGAAGAGATGACAAGAATAATGACAAAGAATATTGCCCATTAATCGTAATAATATTAGTATTTAGTCTTCAAGGTAAAAGGGTATTTAATATAGTAGTTTATTTTTTGTCTTCGTTTGTGTCCAAACAAACTTTATTTAATCATAGATGTCATGAAAATAGGCTGATTTTCACTCTGTAAAAGACAGTGATATACCTTTTTGTTCGTTATAATTTTTTTATAACGTTTGAAAGATACATTGTAAAAATCGGTTTAGAAACTACTGATTATTGTGCCAACAAAGATACGGAGATTATACAAAACGTCTAAACAGAGTTGCATCTCTATAT